GGACTGAGTGTGTTGTTTATCTGGTGCCAAGGTGAAGGACATCGCAAGTCAACTTGGAAGGATACTGAAGAGGGAGGGGGAGGATCCAGTTGTTGTGATCCATGTTGACACCAACAACATGGGCAAGAGGTCCTGTTTAGGGAATATCAGGAATTAGGAACAAAATTACAAAACAGGACCTCAAAGATTGCAACCTTTGCATAAGAAAGCTAGGGAAGTAAACATGTGGCTAAAGGAGTGGTGTGGGGAGTTCCATTTTGGCAGGGGCACTGACATCAGTATAGAACAGTAAGGAACTGTACCATCATAAGGACTTTCAACTAGTTAAAGAGGGAAGGGCTCAGGACAGGTTATTAAAGTTTGCAGAACAAGTAATGGGATGGAGAGTATGGAAAGGGTCAGGAATCTAACTTCAGGCACAGCAGATAAGGGCACAACCTTGAGAAGGGGTTCAGTCAACACAGGACTGAGGGTATTGTACAATGGACACAGCACACAAAATGATGTAAATGAGCTTGTAGCACAGATTGAAATTAGCATTGATGTTGTGGGCATCACAGTGATGTGGCTGCAAGGGGATCGGGGCCAAAATATCCAAGAATACGCATTTTATTGAAAGGTCAGGGAGATGGACAGAGGGAGGCAGAAGACAGAAAATTATAAACCGGTTAGCCTGACCCTGATCATTGGTACAATTAAGGATGAGATTGCAGAGTACTTGGAAGTGCATAGTAAAATACGGCTGAGTTATCACAGCTTCATCAAGAAGAGGTTATAGTCAAAAAATGTGTGGAACTAGAAAAGCACAGCAGGTCAGACAGCATCCGAGGACTCTAGCTTTCAGCACCTGCAGACCTTTCTGTCTTCAAGGAGAGGTTATGCTTGATAAATCTGTTAGAATTCTTTGTGGAGGTATTGAGCAAGTTAGACAAAGGACAGCCAGTGGACGAGATCTATTTGGATTTCTAGAAGGCCTTTGACAAGGTGCCGCATAGGAGGCTGCTAAATAAGACAACAGTCCATGGTGTTGGGGTAAAGTACTGGCATGGACAGAGAATTGGCTGAGTGGCAGAGGGCAGAGCGTTGGAACAAAGGGGTATTTTTCAGGATGGCATCTCGCAACTAGTGGAGTTCTGTAGAGGTCAGTGTTGGGACCACAACTATTCACATTACACATTAATGATCTGATTGAAGGAAGCAAGAGTATTGTTACTAAGTTTGCAGATGACCCAGATAGGTGGAGGGGCAGGTATTGTTGAGGAGGCACGGAGGCTGCAGAAGAACTTTTCAAGGCAGATTATAAAAGGGATCCTGAACAATTGGGTCAATAGGTTGAAAAATGGCAAAAGGAGTTCAATCTGGATAAATGTGAGGTATTGCATTTTGGTGCAGCAAACACTTAATGGTAGAGCCTTGGGTGGAACAGAGGAATGAGGGGTGCAGGTAGTCACATATAGACAGGTTGGTTAAAAAGGTGTTTGGCATGCTTGCCTTCATTGCTCAGTCCTTTGAGTATAGGAGTTGGGAAGTTATGTTGAGTACAGGACATTGGTGAGTCTTCTTCATGAATATTGTGTCCTGTTCTGGCTGCCCAGTTATTATTAAGATATTATTAAGCTGGACAGGGTTCAGAAGAGACTTATGAGCATGTTGCTGGCCATTGAAGGTTCGAGTTATAAAGAAAGGCCGGACAGGCTGGAATTGTTTTCACTGGAACGTAGGACGTTGAGAGGCGACCTGATAGAAGTTTTTAAAATAATGAGGGGTGTAGATAGAGTTAATGGTAGCTGTCTGCTCCCTAGGATGAGGGATTTCAAGATGAGGAGGCACATTTTTAAGGTGAGTGGAAAGATATTTAAAAAAAACATGGGGGGCAATTTTTTTACACAGCAGGTGATTCGCATGTGGAATGAACTTTATGAGGAAGCGGTGAATGTGGATACAATTACAATTACAATACTTAAAAGACATTTGGATAGGTACATGAATAGGAAAAGTTTGGAGGGACAAGGGCTAAGAGCAGACAGGTGGGACTAGTTTAATTTGGGATTATATTTGGCACGGACTGGTTGGACCAAAAGGTCTGTTTCTGTGCTGTCTGATTCTATGTATCTATGACTTGATCAGAGTGGGCAAAGAAGTCGCAGATGGAATGCAATGTGAGAAGGTGTGGGGTTATGCATTTTGGTAGGAATAAGTGAAGTGTAGGCTATTTCCTAAATGGGGAAAGGCTTCGGAAACCTGAAGCACAGAGGGACTAAAGAGTCCTTATTCAGGATCCTGTTAAGGTTAGCAGGCAGGTTCCATTGGCAGTGAGAAAAGCAAATGCAATGTTAGCATTCAATTTGAGAGGGCTACAATACAAAAGCAGGAGTGCACTGCTGAGGCTGTATAAGGCTCCAGTCAGATTTTGAGTAGTTTTGGGTGCCGTATCTAATGAAGGATGACCTGGTGTTGGAGAGGATCCAAGGAGTTTTACAAGAATGATCCTGGGGATGAAGGGCTCATCATATAAGGAGTGGTTGAGGATTCTGGGTCTGTACTCAATGCAGTTTGGAAGGATGACAGTGGATCTGATTGAAACTTACAGAACACTGAGAGGCCTGGATAGAGTGGATGTGAAGGCAACGTTTCCACTAGGAGGAGAGACTGGGAGCCGAAGGCATGGCCTCGGAGTAAAGGATGACCCTTTAGAACTGAGATGAGGAGGGATTTATTCAATCAGAGCGTGGTGAATTTGTAGGACTCATTGCCACAGAAAACTGTGGCGGCCAAATCAAGTGTCTTTAAGGCAGAAATAGACTGGTTCTTGATTAGTAAGACAATCAAGGGAAGAAGGCAGGAGAATGCAATTCAGAAACATATCAGCCATGATCGAATGAGGGAGCAGACTCAATGGGCCGAATGGCCTAATTCTGCTCCTTTACCTTAAGGACTTATAATGCACCCCGTACAGTCCACCCTTCCTTGATCTGTCATGTTAACAGGCTGAAAAACATGTAGATTCCTAAAGTGATCCTGAATTTCACCTCAGGCTTATGTTGTGACAGGTTCTGCTGGGTCTGAGTTTGAGATGTCTGGGCTCATTGTGTATATCCATGGAGTTTCAGTCACTCTCTTCATCACAATAAATGCTTTAAATTATGTGATCCCAAATAATTCTACCATTGCTTCAGTCCATTGTTACCCCAGTCAATGGTCCTTGTGAGGGTCTTGCTTTGGTCAGTTTCACTGGGTTCACTGTCAAGATTTCACTCCGAACCAAAGAAAGTGGTTGCGGTGAAAATGTGATCATGGTTTGGTCAAGAAATTTGTGCAATTAGACAGGAAGAAATGGGAGCATAAGAACAGGAGTAGGCCATTCAGCCCCTCAAGATGGGAACCTGAGGAACAGAAGCCATTCAGGCATTCTGACTGGGTCAGAGTTACATCACCCAGCAATTATAATTTGTGTTTTTGTGGCTTCAATGATATTTTAAATGTCATGAACTGTCACAAACACTTAGGGAAAATCAAGGGTGAACAGTCAAGGTCTTTTCCTCAGGTTAGGGGAGTCCAAAACAAGACGGTTTAAGGTGAGAAGGGAAAGATTTAGAAGGGACCTAAGAAGAATCTTTTTCAAGCAGAGGGTGGAATGAGCTGCCAGAGGTGGTGGTGGAGGCTGGTACAACTGCAACATTTAAAAGGCATCTGGCTGGGTACAAGAATAGGAAGGGTTTCGAGGGATATGGGCCAAATGCTGGCAAATGAGACTAGATTAATTTAGGATATCTGGTAGGCATGGATGCATTAGACCGAAGGGTCTGTGTTTGTGCTGCACATCTCTATGATTCTAAGACTCCAATTCAGTAAGGTAAGGGAAATATGAGGAATGCATTCTACTTTTCAACGATAAAGTAATATAATAAGGAATGGCCTAGTTGCAGGGGTGGATATGTAGAACACCATATAGTTTAAATAGGCACCGATTCAATAAACATTCATTTCTTTGAACAATGTGGCACTTGAGGTTTCGTGTAGAAAAATAATTTCGACATGCATTTTATTAGAACTCAGAATCAAGCTGGTATCTTACAGAGTTTGAAATTTGACAGTGTCTGCCAATGCATGTTCAGTGAATAACCCGCACTTTGAGACCACATAAATGAAGATGTATGATTCCTAGGCAATGAGTTAATAATAACCGAGAGCAATAGAAATTAAACTTACGGCCGTGTTTTTACTTTCTATTGTTATCTCACCCAACACATTCAGTGTTTCCACATACTAAATGTTTTATTTTCTCTTGAAAATTCCTTTCTGTTTCTGACATCTCTTCTTTCCCTTTTTTCTCCCCCTCCAATTCTCTATTTGTTTTCTCTCCCTTGCCAGCTCTCCCTCACTCTCAGCTTTCTTCTTTCCATTCTTTGCTTTTACACTCACTCTTTTTCTGTTCTCCTTATACTTGTCCCCCTCTCCCCATTCGCACTCTCTTCCACTCTCCCTTCTTTCTCTCTCTACCTTATTTTCCCTCTTTCCCCATCCCTTTTTCTCTCCTCCTCTCTCTTTCTCCCATTCATTCCCACTCTCTCCTCATCCCTCTGTCTCTCTCCTCCTCACTTGTCTGCCTCTCTTGCCTCCTCTTTCTGTTCTCTCTGCCCATCCATCTCTCTCTTCCCCCCTTTCTCTTCCCTCGCCTCTTTGGCTTCTCTCTCCCCCTCACACCTCTCCACCTACCCTCTTCCCCCGGTTTCTTTCTCTCTCTCTCTCTCTCTCTCACTCTTTCTCTCTCTCTCTCTCTCTCCCCTCCTCTGCCCTTCTTTGAGATTCTTTTGGGTAATGGAACATGCATTAAGGGACATGCTGGGGAATGTGATGGGTGAACCAGACTGAACAAAAACTGATTCCTGCCCAGGAAGCAGAGCTTTACATGGTCTTAGAGGGCACCCCCCGTCAACCTCAATGTTAATGAAAGCAAACGTGTTTTTTTTTACAACGGAGTAAAACACATTTCGGTAAGTTCAGGCTCTACCCTGCAATTCCTCATCTGAAGTGAGCCTCCTACCAGGGTGCTGCCTCTTTACCTCTGCTCTATCCTTGTTTGAATTGCTGAGCAAGGCTAACAGAGAATTGACTTTGCTGCAGTTCCCGGACTCCTGGAGTTCACATGGGGACAGGAGCTCGCTGCTGCCACCACCTGCCTCCAGGTACTGTGGTGAGTTGTACCGGCTTTCCCCAGAGTCGTCACCATCCTCCTGCCAGCTCCAGCGGCTGGGCCGCGGGCCGTACACCAGGGATCTCTTTCCGGGGTGCTGGCGCTTAGAGAGCTCTCCCAGGAAAGCGCTCAGTTGGCGGGCTGTACTCTCCTCCAGGGCTGGCTCAAAGGCCGACCTCCTCCCCGGGTGCTGCCTTGCCTGCACCTCCAGGGGCACCCCGTCCAGCTCTCTCCTTCCCGGGTGCTGCCTTTTCTCTGGTGCCCAGCGTCCGTCCTCCTCATCCTGCCCAGGCTGGCGTTTCCCTGGGTGCTGCCGCTTCTCAAACTCTCCATCCAGCCGCTTCCCTGGGTGCTGCCGCTTGAGGACTCGCTCTGCAGGTGGCAAGTCTGCATCTAAAGCTGCTGAGGGCAAAACCAGAGGTTCATGAATGAGTTGCTTACCCCACTGAGGCGTGATGAGCACCGCCCAATCACCCTAATACCATCAGACAGTGTGAAACTTTGTTAAATCGCTGCTTTGTACAGGTTCAAATGCTTGACTCTGAGGAAGGTACATGATCCCATTTGGGTTTGTGTGCGTTTTGTTTTATAAAAGGATATTTACAAAACAGCAACTGTTTTTATTCTTACATGCGGGCATTGTTGTCTGAAGAAGGGTTGCTGGGCACAAAACCTTAACTCTGCTTTCTCTCCCCTGAGAGATTCCTGCCAGGTTTGTCCAGCAATTTCTGTTTTTGCTTCAATATTTGTCATCCATCCCTAATTGCCCTTATATTTTTGCCTCTCTAGACTATTTCTGAGAGAGACCATCATTGCTGTGGGTTGGTAAACCAGGTAAGGAGTGTAGATTACCTTCTCTAATGGATATTAATGAACCAGATGGATTGCTTTTAAGGGAAATCAACTATGATTGCCTTTTTTATTAAATTCCAGATTTTATTAAATTCTGATTTCACTATCTGCCATTATGGGGTTCCAACTCATGTCCCCAGAATATTAGTGTGGAACTCTGGATTACTAAAGTGCAATATTATTAATACACTCTCTTTTCTTGAAACACAACAGAGTTTGGGGTGGGCAATATATTCTGTCCCAACCAGTGGAGCCCACGTTCCCTGATTGATAACAACATAAATCAAAGGAAGGAACAGTGAGGAGTTAATCTAACTCTTGTGCTTGACCTAGGTTTAAAGGAAGGAATTTATCCAAGCCATATCCCATTAAAGGAAGCCTTTTTTAATCCATGCATTTAGAGATGTGAGGCAGTCCCTTCAGGGGCAGATCGTTTAAACCCAATATCCATCCAAATAAGACTAAGTCTTGCCAACCCCACCTGTTGGAAACTGCCCTACTGAGTTAAAATCCCATTCACAAATTAGCTGCTCGCATCAAAATGAGGACATAGTTCACACAGCAAGCTGTGATCATCTCTGAGGCTGCTCCTGCAGGTCCAGCAACACAGACTGATGTTCTAAAAGGAACAGCAATCTCAACAATTACCTAGATAACTGTGTAAAAGTAATAACAATGCTGGGCATGGGAAATAGAGAGGGTGGGGGAGATTAATTGAATGGAATGCAGGGTTTGAGTTATAAGGAGAGGCTGGATAGGCTGGGACTTTTTTCACTTGAGGTTGATCGGTGACCTTATCGAGGTTTATAAAACCATGAGGGGTATAGATAAGGTGAATGGCAGGTGTCTTTTCCCTAGGGTGGGGGATTTCAAAACTGGGGGCATATTTTTTAAAGTGAGAGGAGAAAGATTTTTAAAAAACATGACTTCTTTTTTACACAGAGAGTGGTTCCTGTGTGGAATGAACTGCCAGAGGAAGTGGTGAATGTGGAACCGACATTTAGATAAGTACATGAATAAGAAATGTTTGGAGGGATATGGCCCAAGCGCAGGCCGGTAGTTTAGTTTGGGATTATGGTCGGCATGGACCGGTTGGACCGAAGGGTCTTCTGATTGGCTTAAGAGCTGTAACCAGGCTAGCCCAGCTCGATTCCTTCCTTCTTTAAGAGTTTGTGCTTGTTAGTAACGCCCTGTTCAGGACCTTTCAGTGGTGTCCCCTTTGTGCACTAGACCTTCAAACTGGTCTCACCCTCACAGAGCGAGGGAGCTGGGCATTACACGCGGGGAGCAGGGAACTTGGTTTTTCATCCAATTGAATATAAGGGACACGTTTGCCTGATTCTTAAACAGTGCCTGCTGCCAATCTAGCAGCTATCTGAGTTTATAAAACTCCAGTCCACGCAGCCTTTCATTGGCAACAAATATAAAGAATTAACCACCACTGGCTCAGAAACTTAGAATCCCTTTTCCTGTTCTGACGCCTCTTTCCTTACCCCCGTTTTAGTTCCGTAATTTTAACTGCCCCACAATTTTGTCAGGACTTTCTCCCCAGAGCAATTCTGATATTGCAAGCATCTAAAAGTGAGATTCTAACTCTTAAGGCGAACCGTTGACCTTAAGCTCATCCAACTAAACGTTAAGAATGAAAACATGGAGTGTACAAGTGAGTTTTAAGAATCTACAGTTGCTTAAATTTAGAGGGACAGAGTAACACAAGGATGCTGAAGCTAACACAGTAAGAACTGGGTGCGTACCCTCAGCTTTCCGCCCTTCCTCCAGAATGGAGCGGATGAGGACGGTCTCCGCTCTCTGAAGCATCTCCACCAGCGGGTCTGACTCTGCTCCCAGCCGGTCCTCTCCCGCCGCCGTCTGCTCGCTGGCGGTCGCAGACTTGTGAAGATTGAGGTAGCCCAGCAGCAGCAGGAACCATATCGACCTCATCTCGGTGCAACAAGAGGGTGAAGAGAAAACAAGGAAAAGAAAAGAAGTTTGGGCCGCTCTGCGCAGGAAACAAAGAATTGGGAGTTTACTTCCAATGTTACAGTGGAGACGCTATGCGCTGTCCGCGGTGCTGAAAACAAGAAACTTGCAAACCACACACCCAGAACTGATCCCCCTCTCACACACACACGCACAACACTCAGCTACACAACAACACACAAACATAAACAGCCACATTAAAAAAAAACACTTGCACACTTATAGTCAACACGCAACTAACAGAAGGTTTGAAAACAGTAGCAAGCACCAGTTCCTCTTGAGTACTGTTACCTGTCCGGCGCCTCAGGTACGATCTCTCTGTACCAAACTCGGTCCCACGTAGAAGGTCTTGTCTCGGACCGAGCTTTTCTGCTCGTTCTTAGAATGTGTTTGCCTCTGACGGTCGAAGACTGCACATTTATAGCCGTTTAGCATCTCCCCCACCCCCGAATATGCAAATTAACAAGTCGTAGGTTAAACGTATATCTCTTGAAAGCTCAAATTTACACACGCACATAGACACACGTACATAGAAACTCACACGCATGCGTGTATATAGAGAGAGGATGGATACACATGGATCCACACATAGAGAGAGATGTGTACATACAGAAACATGAATACATAGCTACACACGCACATATAAATGTGTAGATGCTTACATGGAGACATGTATAAGCCTGCACATGGACTTACACAAGTTTGCATTCATCTGTTAAAAAAAGTCACAGAAGTACACGCACCTAGATATATTACTAACGCACATACAGTCATGAGTGCAGGTATGCAGCGACAAATATGTTTCACATAAATACATTCATGCACACGGCTTAATAAACAAACGAAAATATCCATGCAGACACAAATCCATATGTATGCATACATAAGCCTGAATATGCATGTGGGTTTCCTCCGGGTCCTCCGGTTTCCTCCCACAGTCCAAAGAAATGCAGGTTAGGTGGATTGGCTAAGCTAAATTGCCAGTAGTGTTCAGGGGTCTGTAGATTAGGTGGGTTATAGGGGGATGGGTCTGGGTGGGATGCTTCAAGGGTCGGTGTGGACTTGTTGGGCCGAAGGGCCTATTTCCACATTGTAGGGATTCTATGATTCTATGATATACATAGGTGCAGACAAACTTATTCATAGAAACAATCATAGAAACACATACACTAACTGTCACACTTGCAGTAACATTCCTAGATATACATATATGTACTAACGGACAATCAGAGGTTTCCATTCTCAAGTCCAGTTCCCCTTGTTTGTATCATTTGGTTAAGGTTTTGATGAAGGTGAGTGCAAAATTCCCAAAGGTATGAATTGAAAATACTCTTAGATAATGAATCTCAGGCTAAAAAATTAATAAATAGGCATTTAATCAATATGTAAATTAGTTTGGCTCAACTCTTGCTGACTCCCAGTTATTGGTTTTCCCTATGGCAACATTTAAAAAGATGAAAGAAATCTTGGATTCACATAATATTTTTCATAACCTCTGGATGGGTGAAGTGCTTTGCAACCATTGTAGTGATGTGCAGTCACTACTATAATTTAGGATAGTCAGCTGGCAATTTTATACACTGTAAGATCCCACAATCATCAGTGACATAACTGGCCACATGATCTGTACTGGTGATAAGGATTGAAAAATAAATCAGAGATCGTAGGAACTGCATATGCTGGAGAATCCGAGACAACAAGGTGCAGTGCTGGATGAACACAGCAGGCCAAGCAGCATCATAGGAGCAGAAAGGCTGACGTTTCGGGCCTAGACCCTTCATCAGAAAAGGTGGACGGGAAGGGGGTTCTGAAATAAATAGGGAGAGAGGGAGAGGCGGATAGAAGATGGATAGAGGAGAGGATAGGTGGAGAGGAAACAAACAGGTCAAAGAGGCGGGGATGGAGCCAGTAAAGGTGAGTGTAGGTGGGGAGTTAGGGAGGGGATAGGTCAGTCCAGGGAGGACGGACAGGTCAAGGGGGCGGGATGAGGTTAGTCGGTAGGAGATGGGGGTGCGGCTTGAGGTGGGAGGAGGGGATAGGTTGGAGGAAGAACAGGTTAGGGAGGCGGGGACGAGCTGGACTGGCTTTGGGATGCGGTAGGGGCAGGGGAGATTTTGAAGCTTGTAAAATCCACATTGATACCATTGGGCTGCAGGGTTCCCAAGCGGAATATGAGTTGCTGTTCCTGCAACCTTCGGATGACATCGTTGTGGTACTGCAGGAGGCCCAGGATGGACATGTCGTCTGAGGAATGGGAGGGGGAGTTGAAATGGTTGGCGACTGGGAGGTGCAGTTGTTTATTGTGAACCAAGCGTAGGTGTTCTGCAAAGCGGTCCCCAAGCCTCCGCTTGGTTTCCCCGATGTAGAGGAGGCCACAACGGGTACAGCGGATGCAGTATACCACATTGGCAGATGTGCAGGTGAACATCTGTTTGATGTGGAAAGTCTTCTTGGGGCCTGGGATGGGGGTGAGGGAGGAGGTATGGGGGCAGGTGTAGCACTTCCTGCGGTTGCAGGGAAAAGTGCCAGGTGTGGTGGGGCTGGAGGGGAGTGTGGAGCGGACAAGGGAGTCATGGAGAGAGTGGTCCCTCCGGAAAGCAGATAGGGGGCTCCATCCCCGCCTCTTCGACTTGTTTGTTTCCTCTCCACCTATCCTCTCCTCTATCCATCTTCTATCCGCCTCCCACTCTCTCCCTATTTATTTCAGAACCCCCTTCCCCTCCCCCTTTTCTGATGAAGGGTCTAGGCCCGAAACGTCAGCCTTTCTGCTCCTATGATGCTGCTTGGCCTGCTGTGTTCATCCAGCCCTGCACCTTGTTGTCTCGAAAAATAAATGTTGACTATCATTTGAGGGAAACATTTGTTGCTCCTCTTCAGCCCTTGTACTTGTATGAAATCTTACAACAATCCAAGAAGACAGATGGGAACTTGGCTTAATTTCTCATCTAAAAGATGGCATCTCCAATAGTATAGCACCTAAATGTCAGCCTCGTGTATGTGCTCAAAATTCTGAAGAGGGTCATGAACACAAAGCCATCTGACTTAGAGGAAAGGGTACTACTCACTAAGCTAAAACTGAAGTCTTGAAAACTGATGAATGAAATGAAACATTTATTGTTTAAATAGTGAGTAACATTCCATTGAATGAATGCGCTCTGTGAATGTTGCCACACTCTGTGACAATAAAGCTTAGCTGTTGGTCTTCACTGCTAATTCAGTTCAAGCATCACATACCATTCACAAATCTAATGATCTCCTTGGTTTAAGTGACTGAGTGAGTACAGCAAGGAAATCAAGGCAGCTGTAGTTTGATCTCAAGGCACACAGCAAGCAATCTAAAGTACAAGGCTATCATCTATTGTTAGCAATCTGAGTGGGCAAAAGCTGAAAGCACTTGAATAACATATTCCTCAGGCAATTACTTTAACAGTGCTGTTAGCTGATATATTTCAATAGGTTAATTACAGGTAATCATCACTATTTTTTCTACAGTTTGATAGTAAGCAGATCTTAGAAATAGTTGGAAGGTTAATTTATATTGAAGGATCGTTGACACTCACAAATAGGCATAGAATTTTACAAGGATAGTAGGAACTGCAGATGCTGGAGAATCTGAGATAACAAGGTGTAGAGCTGGATGAACACAGCAGGCTAAGCAGCATCAGAGGAGCAGGAAGGCTGACGTTTTGGGCCTAGACCCTTCATCAGAAATGGGGGAGGGGAAGGGGGATCTGAAATAAATAGGGAGAGAGGGGGAGGCGGATAGAAGATGGATAGAGGAGAAGACAGGTGGAGAGGAGACAGACCGGTCAAAGAGGCGGGGATGGAGCCAGTAAAGATGAGTTTAGGTGGGGAGGTAGGGAGGCAACAGGTCAGTCCAGGGAGGACGGACAGGTCAAGGGGGCAGGATGAGTTTAGTAGGTAGGAGATGGGGGTGCGGCTTGAGGTGGGAGGAGGGGATAAGTGGGAGAAAGGACAGGTTAGGGAGGTGGGGACGAGCTGGACTGGTTTTGGGATGCGGTAGGGGGAGGGGAGATTTTGAAGCTTGTGAAGTCCACATTGATACCATTGGGCTGCAGGGTTCCCAAGCGGAATATGAGTTGCTGTTCCTGCAACCTTCGGGTGACATCGTTGTGGTACTGCAGGAGGCCCAGGATGGACATGTCGTCTGAGGAATGGGAGGGGGAGTTGAAATGGTTCGCGACTGGGAGGTGCAGTTGTTTATTGCGAACCAAGCATAGGTGTTCTGCAAAGCGGTCCCCAAGCCTCCGCTTGGCTTCCCCGATGTAGAAGAGGCCACAACGGGTACAGCGGATGCAGTATACCACATTAGCAGATGTGCAGATAAATATCTGCTTGATGTAGAAAGTCTTCTTGGGGCCTGGGATGGGGGTGAGGGAGGAGGTATGGGGGCAGGTGTAGCACTTCCTGTGGTTGCAGGGAAAAGTGCCAGGTGAGGTGGTGCTGGAGGGGAGTGTGGAGCGGACAAGGGAGTCATGGAGAGAGTGGTCTCTCCGAAAAGCAGATAAGGGTGGGGAGGGAAAAATGTCTTTGGTGGTGGGGTCGGATTGCAGATGGCGGAAGTGTTGGAGGATGATGCGTTGGATCCGGAGGTTGGTGGGGTGGTACGTGAGGACGAGGGGGATTCTGTTTTGGTTGTTATTGCGGGAAGGGGGTGTGAGGGATGAGTTGTGGGAAATGTGGGAGACACCGTGAAGGGCATTCTCGACCACTGAGGGGGGCAAGTTGCGGTCCTTGAAAAACGAGGACACCTGATATGTACGGGAGTGGAATGTCTCATCCTGGGAGCAGATGCGGCGGAGGTGAAGGAATTGGGAATAGGGGATGGCATTTTTGCAGGAAGGTGGGTGGGAGGAGGTGTATTCTAGGTAGCTGTGGGAGTCGGTGGGCTTGAAATGGATATCGGTTTCCAGGTGGTTGCCGGAGATGGAGACAGAGAGGTCCAGGAAGGGGAGAGAGGTATTAGAGATGGTCCAGGTGAACTTAAGGTTGGGGTGGAAGGTGTTGGTGAAGTGGATGAACTGTTCGAGCTCCTTGTGGGAGCACGAGGTGTCGCCGATACAGTCATCGATGTAACGGAGGAAGAGATGGGGTTTAGGGCCAGTGTAGGTACGGAAGAGGGATTGTTCCACTTAACCAACAAAGAGGCAGGCATAACTTGGGCCCATGCGGGTACCCATGGCCACCCCCTTTGTCTGTAGGAAGTGGGAGGAATTGAAAGAGAAGTTGTTGAGGCTGAGGACGAGTTCGGCTAAGCGGATGAGGATGTCAGTGGAGGGGGATTGGTCGGGCCTGTGGGACAGGAAGAAGCGGAGGGCCTTTAGGCCATCTGTATGGGGAATGCAGGTGTATAGGGACAGGACGTCCATGGTAAAGATGAGGTGTTGGGGACCGGGGAATTGGAAGTTCTGGAG